GGGGGGCACGGGAGGGGCTCCTGGGGGTCATTGGGGGGCACTGGGGGGGCACTGGGAGGGTCTAGAGGGGCACTGGGAGGGCACTGGGGGGTCCCTGGGGGGTCTTGAGGGTCCGGGGGGGGGTCTGGGGCATCCCTGGGGAGAGTCCTGGGGGTCCCTGGAGGGATTTCTGGGGGAGTCCTGGGAGTCCCTGGGGGGGTCCAGGGGGGTCCTGGGGGGTCCAAGGGGTCCCTGGGGAGTCCTGGGGGTCCCTGGGAGGATCTGGAGTGGCACAGGGAGGGTCTGGGGGTTGCTGGGGGGTCCTGGGGGTCCATAGGGTGTTCCAGGGGTCCTTGGGGGGGGCACTGGAGTGGTCCTGGGAGGGTCTGGGGGGTCCTGGGCATCCCTGGGGGGGTCTCAAGATCCCCCTGGACCCCTCCTTTTCCCAGGGGAGGAGCAGCTGGTGCTGGGCCAGGCCCTGCAGAGGGTCCGGATGGAGGTGACTGAGAACGGCACCGAGGTGGCCTCGGCCACAGGTGGGTGACACGGGGGGTCCCTGGGGATCCTGGGGGTCCATGGGGCAGTCTGGGGATCTCTGGGGGTCTCTGGGTGGTCCTGGGGGTCCCTGGAGGGATTTCTGGGGGAGTCCTGGGTGTCCCTGGGGGAGTCCAGGGGGGTCCTGAGAACACTGGGGGTCCCTGGGGGGGTCTTGGGGATCCCTGGGGGAGTCCCCGGGGGGTCCTGAGGGTCCTTGAAGGGCTCCAGGGTGTCCCTGGGGGCATCTGGGGGGGTCTTGGGCGGCTGTGGAGCGGTCTGGGGGTCTCTGGGGGTCCCTGGGTGGTCCTGGGAGTCCTGGGGGTCCTTGGGGGGGGTCCTGGGGATCCCTGGGGGTGTCTAGGGGGGTCCAGGGGGTCCCTGGGAGAGTCTCTGGGGGGTCCTGGGGGGCACTGGGAGGCTTGGGGGGGGGCTCAAGACCCCCCTTAGGTCTCATTTCCACCCCCCCCTCCTTTCCCACAGCTGCCATCGTTTATTCCCGAATGGCCCCCCTGGAAATCGTCCTGGATCGGCCCTTCCTCTTCCTCATCCGACATGGCCCCACGGGTATTTGGGGATTTGGGGATGGGGGGTTTGGCGGGGGGGACACACACAAGGTGGGAAGGGGCGCCTGGGAGGTGTGGAGTGAGTTTGGGGGGGCTTTGTTGCTGTTGGATTTGGGTTTGGGGGGTCTGTGCCCCTTGGATTTGAGTCTGGGGGTGTTTCATGTCCCATTTATGTGGGTTTGGGGGGTCTATGCCCCTTAGATTTGGGTCTGGGGGTGTTTCATGTTCCATTTATGTGGGAGGGGGTCTGTACCCTACGGATTTGGGTCTGGGGGAGCCTGTTCCCCACAGATTTGGGTCTGGGTGGGTCTGTGACCCTTGGATTTGGGTCTGAGGGGGTCTCTGCCCCACGGATTTGGGTCTGGGGGGGCTCCATCCCCCTTGGGTCAGGGTTTGGGGGTCTCTGCCCCACAGATTTGGGTCTGGGGGGGCTCCCTGACCCCTCTCTCCCCCCCACAGGTACCGTCCTCTTCGTGGGGCAGGTGATGGAGCCCTGAGCACCCCACGGGAGGGGGGGGTCACCCCACATTGGGGTCACCCCACATCGAGGTCACCCCCACCTTGGGGACCCTCCATCTCAGAGTCACCCCACAGCTGGGGGGTCCCCCACAGGGTCTGTGGGGCTCGGAGAGCTGTAATTTATTGTGGAGAGTAATATATTTTGGGGGAGTCACCCCCGTGCTCCAGGGGTGGGGGCAGTTGTGTCCTGGTGTGGGGTCACCCCTGTCCTGGTTTTGGGGTCAACGTCCCATCTTGGGTTTGGGGTCAATCGTGCCCCAGATTTGGGGTCAAAGTCCCATCTTGGATTTGGGTCAATTGCGCCCCAGATTTGGGGTCAACCCCCTTTCATGGTGTTGGGGTCAATCATCCATCCCAGTGTTGGGGTCACCGTCCCATCAGCCCCCATGTCCCCTTTTAGGGGAAGCCCCTCCCTGTTGCCCTGGTGACAGGCCATGCCCATGTTGTCATAGTGACAGACCACGCCCCTACAGGTGCCTTGAAAAAGAGACCACACCCCCTCCAATCACCTTGGCAACTGGCCACGCCCTCTTTCCATTGCCTTGGAAACCAGACACTCCCTTGGTGACAGGCCACGCCCCTTCGACTGGAAGGTCCTCCCTGTTTCCTCGGTTTCTGTTGCCCTGGCTACAGGCCACACCCTCTTGTCAACAAGCCCCGTTGCCATGACGACAGACAACGCCCCCTTTGCCCTGAAAACAGGCGACACCTCCTTCCGTTGCCATAGCGACAGGCCACGCCTCCCTTGCTATTCTCCTGCTGGCAGGCCACGCCCCCTTTTACGAGAAGCCCCATTCATTTATTTGGCCACAGGCCACGCCTCCTCATCGTTGCCACTGACTGCAAACCCCGCCCCTTCACCGTTTCCATGACAACAAGCCCGCCGGGCCCCTCCCCGCCGGCCTAAACCGGAAGCGGCGCGGTGACGTCACACCCGGAAGCGGTGGCCCCGGCGCGGCTCTGCCGGAGCGGCCCTGTCCGACTTCTCCCCCC